GAGCATGGAAACCAACAGGCTAAGTTTTATGGTGAGAGCCACATATGATGTGCTGCCCTCTCCAACAAACTTGCAGGTATGGTGTGGACAAGACCCAGCCTTCCACCTCTGTGAAGTCCCGGCAAACCTCAGACATATCCTGGTGGGTTGTAAGACCAGTTTGACATAGGGAAGGTACACATGGCGCCACAATCAAGTACTGAAGTGATTGGCGGCAGCAATAGAGACCAAGAGAGTGTCAACAAATGCCATCCCCCAAAATGCCAAGAATACCTTACCAAAAAGGCAGTCCTTTGTTAGGGAAGGGGAGAAAAAGCGGGCTAAGTGCCTGTCCCCTGACGCAGGCCAGCTGAATATAGCCAGGGACTGGGAAATACGAGTCGATTTAATCCACAGACTCACTTTACCATTTGAAATTGCAGTCACCAATTTGCGCCCAGACCTGGTTCTCTGGTCCAACTCCAGTAGGATCGTCATAATAGTCGAACTGACAATCCCTTGGGAAGAGGCCATTAACGAGGCTTTTGAAAGGAAGAAGCTGCAATATGCCAACTTGGCAGCTGAGGGAGAGGAGCGGGGCTGGACAGTGAAAGTATACCCGGTGGAAGTGGGTTGCAGGGGCTTTGTGGCTAGTTCCACTATAAGGCTGCTGAAGGAGTTAGGCATCAGAGACCAGGTCCAGCAGAGGATAGTCAGGGAACTGGCCACTGTCACTGAAAGAAGCAGCCACTGGTTGTGGCTGAAGCGGATGGACACATTGTGGGCTGCCAAATGACCATGTAACAAAGTGACAGACACTCGGGTCTGATCAGCCTGTCATGGGCCTGCCTCGTCTGAGGGTGTCTTGTGATAAAGGGCCAAAACACCCAATGAGGCTGGGTTACATAACTGACAATGTGTTGCATTGGTGGAAACACCATACAAAGGTCATTGGCAACATCACCTCAACAAAAGTCATCTTTTACCCAGGCTAAAGTTCACACAGAAACTGAGATCTGATGGACATCGGATAAGGTATTCCACTGGCAACATCCATAAAAGATAAGTACACATCATGTACAGCATAACATATCATCAAACATCAAGGATCACCATCCGATGACTGCAGTGAAGAATTTTACCATCTTCATCTATCCATCTTACCATACTAGTCCTTTTTCTTATTGTTCCCCAGTCACGCATAAAGCAATTGTAAATTCAGTCTGTACGGTTACGGCTAAGAAGGCCATGTCTGAGCTCTCAGTCTGTCCGGTTACGGCTAAGAAGGCTATTTATGAACTCTCAGTCTATCCTGTTACGCCAAGGAGGCTGTTTATGAACTCTGTGCCTGTCCTGTTATGGTCAAGGAGGCCATTTATGAACTCTCAGCCTGTACTGTTACGACCAAGGGGGTCGGCTTTGAAATCTCTGCCTGTCCTATCACGACCAAAAGAGCTGCCCCTGAACTCTCAGCCTGTCCTGTTACAGCCAAGGAGGCCGTCTGTGACTGTCCTGTTATGGCCACAGAGGCCATTGTTAACCTCTCCGTGTTCCTTGATGGGGATCTACGGTCCCGTTTGCTCTGCTGTGGTGGTCGTCTGCTCTGCCGTGGGGATCTTCGGTCCCATCTGCTCTGCTGTGGTGGTCACCTAATCCACCGTAAGGATCATCGGTCCCGTCTGCTCTGCCCTGCCCTGGTGGTCTTCAGCTTTGCCTGCACCGTCCTGGTGGTCTTCAGCTCCGCCCTGGTGGTCTTCTGCTCCGGCCTGCTCCACCCTGGTGGTCTTCAACTCCGCCTGCTTCGTCCTGGTGGTCTTTAGCTCTGCCTGCCCTGCCCTGGGGGTCTTCAGCTCTGCTGAAGGGGGGCTCTGTCACAATCTCTAGCTGGAGTACCCACAAGCTCCACTAGAGGGCACCCCATCCTATACCCTTTACCATTCACCCCAGACTCCACTTCCCATAATCCTTTGCATGGACTCATCAGAACTCATCAATTCACAGCTGTCTCTGCGAGGACTATAAGAATTGCACACACACACTCAGATGCTGCTGGTGATTGTTAGCCTGTAATGTTTTCTTGTCTGCTGTGTTTCCTTGCCTTGCCTTGCCTTTGTGTTGTTTGATCCTTGGACTGTTTCCTTGTTTTTAATTGTTTACTACCTGCCCTGACCTTTGCCTGTGTTGTGGATTACTCTTTTTTTTCCTTTTTTCTTCTTTGCCCTGGATGTTATTGTTTGCTGGTGTTTGACCCTGCCTGTTCGGACCACGTTTTATAATAAAGCCCGCATTAGGATCCAACTCTGTCATCATGACTCCTACATTACAAGTAAAAACCTTATTTTTAAAGCTTTACAATGTGTTTATGGGCTTAATATCTTATAATATGTGGTATGTTATCCACGTGAATAAAGATTATTTATTAAATAAACATAAGAATCGATCAGTATTAAATCATAACGGTCTTATTGGTCACATTAGCGAATATGGCTCAACGAACGCTTTAACTTCTTAAACTTAAGTAAACACGCAAAAACAAAACTATAAACCTTTACTAGACCGTTTCACTTAAATGATCAACTGCACCGCTGCTAAACCTTGACTTGAACTGTGGTCTCGCACTGATGATGTAACAGCCAGGCAGGCACACCCAGGGCGTATTTGGTGCTAGAACTAGTAGTAAAGAGGAAGGGATGATCGCGTTTACTGGCGCTGCTGCTGTCTTGACTGAGGCACCTATAGAGTGATCTAGATGTCTTATAAAAATCTTAGCGCTAATATGATACAAGTATGAATTTAGAAAAAGCTTACCTCTTTACTGTGTGCCATCATCCCATCTCGCTCTCTGTCTTCGTCCTCATCAGGAGAGGGTCAATCATCAGCCAGTCCGAAGACAAGCAGCCAATCAACACAGGATTTAGCCAGTAGCCAATAGCATTTGTTAACACAGCAACCATATGTTTGGGCCCCGCCCCCTGACTGTCAAACCTTCCTGTACGTGAAGGGTTCAGCTCGCACACTCCAGATCAGTAGGTGGCGGTAATGCACCTTTTTCGTTGGCTTGCCAAACCGCCATAAAACACCAGAAGAAGGGTTCAGCCCGTGCATGCGTTTAGCTCTGTGCGCACGTGCAGATATTACTTGCGTGTGTAGGATCTGCCAGGATTCGTGGTTTTGTTATTTGTCCTCTCAACGTGTTGATGTGTGTACACAATCACATTTTTTGTGCTCGAGTTTGGAGTTTGCCATTTCTTCAGGTTTACATTTTACGTACGAGCTTCGTCACTGTGCACACAGTACTGTAATTTGCTTGCGCGCTGTGTTCATGCCTTGTGCTGTTTAGTCCAATTTTTTACGTCCATAGTGCAGAATTCAGTCAGAGTGCGTGTACTGAACATAAAACTCTGGCGTTTCAGTGATGACTAATCTAAACGCCTCTGATTGGCCATTGCATTCATAAGCTCCACAGACTTGTGTATTATTGGTTATAATTCACAACACTGTAAAAATACATAAAACAAATCATGGTGCAACACTGAGCAGATCTAACTTTGATGCTGCAGTCAACACTTTCCATTTACATTTTTTTCCCGACAGCCGTAATGGATTTAGTTTAAATGTACAGCAGCATTTTTGTCCACGTGTGTTGCCATAGTTTCTACAAGCGGAAACTGAGGATAGTGCGGATATTTCATCAGTGATGGGCAACAATGACCAGGGACGAGCCATTATTTAAAATGTACAAATCCATGGGAACGTTTGAGATAACGCAAGTACACAACTGCATGAAATATATATCACACTGTGCAAGTGTTTTTTGGATATGTTATTACAAAAATCTTACAAATTGTGCCATTAAAGATGAATGAAAATTTCGAAACGCTTAAAATGAAGCAAAAACTTAAAAAGGTGAGGGAAATAAAATCATAATTCTTTAAAAGTATCTTCATTAAAAAAAAGTTAATATTAAAACAGGTCTAAAAAAAAAACCTTTTCATATTATTCAATCAATTTATAATAATAATAATAAAAAAAAAAATAATAATACTATAGATTAAAATGTAAAAGGTGTAAAACTCAATTGATTTATGACAAATAATAAACAAAAAATATATACAAGTATAATATAAATAAATATAAAATATACATATTAAATACATCTAAAATGCTAAAAAAAAATAGGTTCATAAATGTAAATGCATGCAAGTCTGTAATTTAACACTGTTACGATCACCGGCTGGAGTGCCCTGGTCCATTGCAGACTGTTACTCTCTCACAAACCACATTCCCCATAATCCTTTGCCCGAAATCTTCATCACTGATTGCATTCACCTGTGTCTCATTACCTCATCAGTCTCACCCTATTTAAAGCCTGGTTTTTCACTGACTCATTGCTTAGTCTTACTTGTGTTAGCGCTGCCATTCTAAGCCCTTGTTTGCAGTGCTCCTGTGTCTTGGGGTTTTTTTTTTTTTGGATTCTTTGTCTTTTCCTTTGTTGCCTGTGCTCTGGATATTGTTGTTTGGACTGCACTGTCTGTGCGTTGGACTTTTTGCCTGTTTGGACTATGTTTACCCCTTATTAAAAGCTGTGTTTGGATCTTCAATCTTTTTGTCTCTGTGCAGTGCATAACAAACACCATGCCAGCTAAGATGGCTATTTTCCAGCAAATAATGGCTTAAAATGAAACAAAATATTGAAAGAAAAAAGTCATAAGTTTTGAAATCTCTTCAATTAAAAAAAATCTAAAACTATAAAATTAAAGTCCTTTTCATTTGAATCAACTAAATAAAAAGAATGTTTGTGATTTAACACCAGCAACATTGGCAATTTAAAGTGAGAAACGGCTTAAAATGTATCAAAATACAGGGGGAAAAACTTAAAAAGTTTCTTGAAATTTTTTTTAAATCTTGAAAATCGAAAACAAAACCATTAACACTCTTTTCATATAAACTAACTGAATAAAAATGGGGTCATAAATGTAATCCAACAAGATCAGTTTTGACTAAAAAAAAATGTCGCTCACCTTCATAAACTTTGATGGCCACGGTTGGCTGGTTGTCAGAAGTGGTGGTGAAGATCTGGGATTTACCGATGGGCACACCAGTGTTCCTGGGAATGAGTTTGGTCATCACTCCTCCAACCGTCTCAATGCCCAGGGTCAAAGGACAAACGTCCAGAAGCACCAGGTCACCTGTTCAACACATTTCAGCCAAGCATCTCATAAGAGACTTGGTGTGATTAGACAGCCCAGCCCTAGATGTGGTCATCATTAAAGGTTGTAGAGAGACTCACCGGTATCCTCTTCTCCTGATAGAACTCCAGCCTGGACGGCGGCTCCGTAAGCCACAGCCTCATCCGGGTTGATTCCTTTGGACGGCTTCTTGCTGTTGAAGAACTCCTCCACCAGCTGCTGGATCTTGGGAATACGAGTGGAGCCGCCAACCAGGACGATCTCGTCGATGTCAGACTTCTTCATGTCAGCGTCTTCCAGAACCTTCTGCACTGGTTTCATGGTGGAGCGGAACAAGTCCTGTGAGGAGAAAGAACAAAACATTGGTTATTTTCCATGCATTGAACAGATACAGGCACAATCACGGTTATTTTTTTATTTTCAATAAACTCTGATAGTATTTTTCAACATTTTGAATTAGTTTTTTTATTTTTAGATTTTCAGTTTTCATTTTAATTCATTCAAAAGTTTTAGTAATCTGCTGTGATTTTTTTGTCATTTTAAAAGGAAAAGACAGGTGGCCAAGTATGGTGGAATTTGAATATGGAATTGGAATTTGAGCTCTGCATTTCACCCATCCAAGTGCGTACACACACCGTGAACATCACACCTGGAGCAGTGGGCAGCCATTTTTGCTGCGGCGCCCAGGAAGATTTGCTGAAGGATTTGTTGGTAAAGCAGAGCTTCTCTTACCATGTTGAGCTCCTCAAACTTGGCGCGGGTCAGCGTCTCGGAGAAGTCTTCACCCCTGAAAAAGGACTCGATCTCAATGTGGGCCTGATGCTGGGTGGACAGTGTTCTCTTGGCCTTCTCCACCTCACGACGCAACTTCTGCATGGCGCGGTTGTCCTTGTGCACGTCCTTGCCGGTCTTCTTCTTGTAGAGCTTGATGAGGTACTCCATGACGCGCTGATCAAAGTCTTCCCCACCGAGGTGAGTGTCTCCATTGGTGGCCACCACCTCGAAGACGCCGTTATCGATGGTCAGCAGGGAAACGTCAAAGGTGCCGCCGCCGAGATCAAACACCAGGATGTTCTTCACACCGTCACTCTTGTCCAGACCATAAGCGATGGCGGCAGCGGTTCTGTGGAGAGCAACAAGATGTCCATCAGGGTTATCATTAACCAAAACCATATAAAAATATATATAAAATAATATTTTATTTTATTTCAAGTAACAATACTTGCAATAAAAACATTAACTGAAATAAAATATTTTAACACTAACATTGGCAATTTTAAGCGAGAAACTGCTTAAAATGTATCAAAATATGGGGGGAAAACATCTTTAAAAGTTTCTTGAATTTTTTTTTTAATCTTCTGTTGAATAGACTAGAAAATTATGTTGGCATTAATGGAATTGCATTAGCATGGTTCAAATCTTACTTATCTGACTGTCATCAATTCGTAGCAGTGAATAATGAGGACCAAAAGTGCAGTATGGAGTACCACAAGGCTGAGTACTAGGACTGTTGCTTTTCACGCTTTACATGTTACCCTTAGGAGATATCATCAGGGAACATACTGTTAGCTTTCAATGCTATGCTGATGATACTTAGCTCTATATTTCTATATACCAATTCGCAAAATTAACTGATTGCATAGTTCATATAAAAAACTGGATGATTAGTCATTTCCAACTGCTAAATTCTGAAAAACAGGTGTTAAGGCCAGGACACACCAAGCCGATGTCGGGCTGTCGGTGAGAGTCTGTCGGGCTAGTTTGTTTGGTGTGTTCCTCACATCGGCTCTCATCAGGAACAAAAACATAAAAACAACTGCGGAGCACGCCACGGAGGCAGCCATCAACGTCGGCGCCATCGCGAAGAATATGTTGAATCAGCATCGGGGCCGTCGTGAGTTAGAACTCTGATTGGATGTTCAGTTTAATGAACGAATCAGTGCCCCAGATTTAAAGCGAAAGTGATGAAACCGAGCACGTAAATGAAGGCGGCAGAGACAGAAGGCTGTTCTAATGTTACGTGATCTGACCCAAGCATTCAAATAACTGATGTTCAAAATGGTAAGCAAGCGCTTATTACAAATATTGTGGGCTTGATTGTACAGACACTATTTGAAGAGAACTGAACTGAGCTCGACGATGACATTACTGAATCAATGTTGAACTGACTTTATGTAACAATCACCAGCTGGAGTGCCCTTGATAGCGACCAGAGGGCACTCCATCCCATAACTTTGCCACTCAATCCTGGACCGCATTTCCCATAACCCATTGCCCAGACTCATCATGCCCAATTGTTTTGAAGACACCAAGGTGGTCCAAAGGCATTTGAGGCTGACTTCCTGTTTGGCTGACCCACCACTGATGTCTTCAGCTCCGCCCTGGTATCCCTCTTGTTTGTTCCCTTGGTTACCCTTGTGAGTTGCTATGGTGATTCATTGACTCCTCCCCCTTATCTCGTTATCCTTGTTACACTGTGTATTTATACCCCTGTGTTTGCCTGGTTCAGGGTCAGTCTTTGTTTCTGGTTTCCTGGTGTATATTTCCTGTGTATTTTCCTGGTGCAGTGTTTTTCCCCCCAAACTAGTTCAGTGAAAATCCCACCCAGCAGGTAATTTAATTGGTTTAGGTTAGGGTGAGGGATTGTGTTTGGTGTAGGCATTCATCACTGTGATTGACATGACCAATGAAATATTTAGAATAAGCTGTGGGCCGGAGATTTCACTGAGCTGGTTTGAGAAAAAAATAAATAATGCATGTTCCTGTTCTGTGTTCCTATGTTAGTTCTTTGTTTATCATCTTAATAAATTTTACTGCAATTGGATCATCTGCCTTGTTTCGTGTCTCCAACATTACTTTAACTTAAAAATTTACTGTTTGCCATTGTCTTCTTGCATTATCAACACACTATTTTCCTGTTTAACACTGTAAAGCTGCTTTGACACAATCTGTATTGTATAAAGTGCTATATAAATAAAGGTAACACAAAAATTTTTGTTTGTTGAAGTACTAAAACAAGTAAAAATATAGCTGCAAGCAGCGACACTGGGCCAAGCCCCCGAAGACCCCTGTAGTGCAGAGCAGGAAGAGCAAAAACAGCAGAAATTGAATGAACATGAAAAACAGCCGTTTCAGAATTATAAGTGAGAATGAACTTAGAATGAACAGAAGTTCAAGTGAAAATTAACACATGGATAAAAACATTTCTAATCAGGGTCATTATTATTAACTAAAATTAAAAACATAAAACAAGTTAAATAAAATAAATGTTAAATGAAATAATATAAAATTATTTAAAAAAGCATTTTTTTAAATTTACATGCCAAGGCAACATTTCTAATTTTACTAAAATAACTAAAACCTAATTAATAAAAACTATAAACAAATATTTAAAAATAACAAGATAAAACAACTAAAAAAAAGTTAATCATAGATATTATCATTAAGTAAAACCGTAAAAAAATGTCATTTAATGGGGAAAAAAGTTAACTGAAATTATATATATATATATATAATTAATTAATAATTA